CGATTACAGTATAGTCTTGCAGTTCCTTCGCCAATACCCAACTGAGCAGCTCCACGAACAGTCGATGTACCATTAAAGCCCATAAAGTATAGAGCCATTGCTAACTGAATCGCGGAAGAGGTTTGAGGATTATTGGAGTTGTTTTTGAAAATTGGATCATTGCGAATAAGGGAGAATAGTTGATTGAAAGAGTCTCATTTCATCCAAAAAAATGCCATAAATCTATCTTCTGACATCATATAAATCTAATATATATTAATTTTCATTCTTTTTCCTTAAAAGTAGTCTATATTTGATTTATTACATACATGGTAATTAAACATATACTCAGTGCATGGTATTGGGTCTCATGGTATAAAATACTGGATCATCAGTATCCTAAGCCCAAGAAACTCAATAATCTCCATTTCTGACTCCCCTATCACCTCTTCCCCTCCACCAAGACATAGTTCTAGCCCATTGTCCCCATCAAGATTTATCATTACAGGAGTGTCAAATATTACTCAAAAAAGGTTTTCATTGAAGTCTTCCAAGTTTTGAGGCCAATTGGAAGCTGAGCATGAAGGTTGAAGGCATGTAAAAAGAAGAGATAAATCATCATCATTGAATATTAATTGAACAATGACATTTGATAACCATATATCATGAAGTTGATGAATGATTCTTGCTTTTTCTGAGGTGCGTGGTATCTGTTCCTAATTGTTGTTGTTTGGATGCTGCTTGTTTTTCTTCTTTACATTTTACATTTTTCCGATTCTGATTATGTCATCTTTACATATTCTGTTACTGAATACTCACTTTTACTCGTTACTGACCTCTTAACCTCCATCTCTACTAGAGGAAAAAGTATTGTCTAGTAAGCTAGACTTATGGTAAGTTAACTGTTTCTGGATGTGCCAACCTTACATGAAAAAGGAAAGTAAGCTATTTTTTTTTCAAGTTTTTCAACTTTGAATACCCCTACTGGTACTCGAGTACAGTACGGTAGTCTACCGTATCGGTAGGTCGTCGGCACCTCTGAACCTACAGTACGGTATGTACCTTCACGACTCCCAATTTTAATGGATATTCCAACTTGTGACAACGGTATCTACAAGAGGAGTTTTTTTTTTTTTAAGTCCCTTCGGCGGTCTTCTTAATTGGTTATTGGAACATATTTGCTGTGGTTTCTTTTCACTCCTCCAACCGGTGCTGTAGAGGCCCTTTTTAAAACTGCACGGTACTGTACTTGTATGGGCAGGAGGATGGTAAGACTTGTACCTGTATGAGGGAAAAAAAAATTCACCTAATAATCAGCCAAGAGGCTCCCTAATTAGGACTAGCATTGTTGATTCACCGTAAGGCTCAGGGTGGCCGGCACTTTACTAACCGTATTGGGACAACGCCTACGGTACGGTATGGCGGTACTAATCTCACTCCTACCGTATTAAGCTCCCTAAAGCTACCGTACTGATACTACCGGTACTGTACAATAGGAAGCACAAGATCTAAAAACCAAGGGAGAAATATTTCTCTGCTACCGGTATAATATCTGCGGGTAAGAAAGGATGTAGAGTGACTTACCCGTGAATATATAATGTTTTGATTATCTTGATGTTAGATGACGTCGCTCTCGACCCTTCATAGCTCGAGTTTGCGCTCTGGGATTATTCCCGCATGAGGGGGTTGCAATACGAGTAACACCGTGACTGCAGCATTTTAGCCATGCTGACCGGTGCTGCGACCAGGTTATCGTGATTTGGAAGTGAATGGGTGGATTTAGCTGGTTCGGCGCTGGGCCAGAAAATGACCCATAAAGAATTCAGCGGGGGTACCCGAGGACTACTTGTGCCGTATATTTTTCGGTTTTTAAGGTATTTCAAGTGGAGTATAAAGCCGGAGCTTGGGTAATCTATCAAAGTAGAATTGAGGAGAATGTATGCGCTTTTCATAGCATGGGAAGGGGAAGGGGTGAGGGGGGAGGTCGAAGGTTTTGCTAAGGAGACTATCGTACGAGTATGATATCAGGGAATGATTGACTACCGGTAGATGGCCGTTTGGTTGGCCACGGGGCAGAAAGCTCAAATGGGGATAGGGCTTAAGCACAATGCCTTTGTCCCCGGAAGGATTATAAGGTATCTTGCTGTGAGCGAGCATCGGTACCTAGTACTTTGGTTTAATGGAAATGGCGCCAGAGTAGTGAAGGAAATTATGGCTCAAGAGGCAAGTGAGGGGAGACATCTTAAGGAGTCTCTTCACTCGGGACAGTGAAAGTTTTGCCGGTAGTAGAAGCAGGGACATGGGGGAAATTACGGTCAAAGCCTAACTCAAGGGGGGACACCCTTTCTTGCAGATCTCGCTCGCCTATTGATCCACAGCGTTGTCTGGTTCTGGAGCCATTTCTAGTTAACAAGGTTATGCGGCACCCGGGTTTAGGAGGCTCATCTGTATGAGCCTATCACCGATTGCGCCGTGCACTAAACGACTAGTCTATCACAGAGAGTTGTGTGTCAGAGTATCAATCCACTGGAAACAGGAGGTGGATTACGACATAGACTATATGTTTCTGAATGTCTGTTGATGGCCTTTGTGTGGTTTGGATTCTGCGATATGACGATATGACGGATAAAAGTATTGATATCATGCGGCCCTTGCAGTTTGCTGATATTTTAGTGATATCGGTCTGGCGATCACTACTCGAGTAGTACGCCTGGTGCGTGCCCAACTTTAGCTCGGCCGCGCACTCGCTCGGAGTATAACGATTGGTCAACTGATACTTCGGAGGGCAAAGGAAGCATCCAATTAAGCCACTGCTCGTATATACCCCTTTGCTTGGCACCTTCAATACCCACCGCTCTACACTACGAGTACTCGTACAATACTAAGCACTAATTATGCCACCGCTTGTGTGAGCGGGTGGGTGATTGTGCGAGCGAATGGATGTGCGGATACATAGAGGCGTGGGTGAAGGGAAACACAAGAAGCGGAAGGCCTCCCGTTTTTTGTAGACAATGATGTGAGCCAGTCAATATTATCCAAAATGCGAACAACGGTATATTTGGACGTGTAGGTTGCTTTGGGGACTCTCCATGACTCTTGGAAGGATTGTGTGGGCAGCTGCGCAGTGACGAAAATTCGTGACTTTTATGTTGACCTGTTTGCTACGATAATTAAGGGGGAAGAAACCCCGCCCCGGGGGAGAAGATCATCGTGGGTTTTCTTTTTTTCATTAGAACAGGAGCACTCTCATGCTTCTCGGGAAACATTCTCTTGTGACCCCCAATGTGTCTATTGACCGGAGCAGATCCGCATAACTTACATCTTCGAACTTATTTAAGGTGTCACGATAGGCTTCGCGCTTTATCTGACAACCTACCCCGCTAGGGAGATGAGCTATCACGATTGCCAAATCCCCGCAAGAGGGGGCCAGAGAGAAAGGAAATCTCACTGTATGATATCCGCGGCGCTATGTAAGGGTTGACCACTTCACGCTTTACCACATGAGGGGGAGGTAGTGTCGCTACTCTGACGATAGTCTAAGTTCAATAGCGAACTATGGAAGTCATTTTTTGTGTTGAAAAAAATGTTCAAGCTAGTTTGCACAGACTGGTATGAATAGCTTTGGAAGCTGTCGGCCAATTGCACACAAATTTCCAAACTTCTGTGCGAATCTGGTGCGTAAGGGAGGAAGGGGGGGTACGAGTAGTCTACAGTACTCGAGCACAGTATCATACTCACTCATCTTTACCAAGAAGAATACAGTACCTCCTCCAGCCGATATCTCGCTGGAGTCCTCACCAGATATTCGGCTCACGGAGGTATTCCCGGCAAAGACGGGTGGTTTAGATTTTAGGTTCCTGTGCTCGTCTCGGTGGCGCGGGCAGCTCTCTATTAGATCGCATGATCTGCGGTATCGGGTGCCTCCTCACAAACCTTGGCGTGTATTTTGCATGTGAATCCAGTATCTGATTCTTGCTTGGTACGGGTAATAGGGACACTCTTATCACATTAGTTTATTCGTTGCTCATATGACCTTTCATTCGTATGTCGAATTTCAGGGAATTTTAGCTCGAGCTAGAGGAATGCTTAGCTTTGGGGAGGTGAGGCGGAGGATCCCCCATGGTGACCCGGCCCGTGGGCGTTTCGGACCCCGAGGATCTACGGAGAGCTTGCTTGAATAGGCGACGTTATTGTCATTTTGGGTAGGAGTCAGTCTCGACCGTGGTTTCGCCAGCACAAGCGAAGGGATGAACCACAGTACGTACTGTACTAAATTTACCAGTAGTAGGCCAGCTTTAGAGGCGGTTGCCAGATAGCGTAGTTCAGAGACAATCGGCAGTGTCGAAGTTGGGGCTCGAGTGGAACAATGGATGTGCAATCAACAGGGTTGGAAAGTTTTCTAGGCACAGTATTATATTGGAACTCCAACTGACAACCCCACTTTTCACTTGGCAACATTAGCCTCTTGTCTGTGAATTCTGTCGAACCAGCAGCGAAATCACATCGTGAACCAGGAAGTCTCGCCGCGTACTGCGGTGAACCCCTTCGAACCGGATGCTGGGTAAACATCCTAGATCTGAGCTGGCGTCGCGAGATCAACTAATGGTGCACAACACCCATGGCACCTAACAGGAGACTTGCATTCCTCCGGATTTCGTTTGGCGTCAGCGACTTTGGGTAGGCATTTCCATGGCCGATATCCTCCCTCGGGGTCTCGCCGGTCTACGGTTGGGTAAAGGTGTGATATGATAGAGCACCAGTACGTACTGTGTAGTGCTTACACATGGGTTTCTGTCAGATGCCCGCTTATGGAGCGTATCATAAATCCTTTTTGATGCTCTCGGGACGCTTTTCTCGGCTCGCTCGCTCATGGGCTGCACTACCATATCCTTTACTAAACCTGCTTTAAATATACGTCATACCATTCGAGGGAAATCCACAAATAATTCTTGATCCCTTGGGACCTTCTCTTTTTATTGCCGTCATTTCCCACATCTCCTAATTCTTTCTACAACCTTTCAAACCTCTCTTTCATCACCATTTGATCAATTGATCATATGGATTTTGGAGGAGCCTACCCTACAGCTGTCGGGGGCGATGCTGGAACGGAGATGGGCCCCCCATCTGGGAGGGCAAAGGTGCCTATTCCGAGAGCTAGAACGTTGAGCAGCAGAGCTGCGGAACGAAGAAATAAGAAGAGGGCGTCTCATGCTTGTGAGCCATGTAGACAACGGAAGACTAAGGTACAACAAATCAAGGTAGTCGTGGGCCGCGGCTAACAGACATTATTTTGACAGTGCGATGCGCAGAGGCACGTCCACTACCCCTCAATTTCCTTTTTTATCTTTCCTATCTTCACTTTTTATACCTTTTTTTGGCCTATCATCCTAACTAATAGCCAAAGGCCAGTATGTAGCCACTGTGCTGACTACAAAATAAATTGCTATTATGGTGAGGGCAAAAGAGAGATGGTGAGGAAGTAAGTTTTTGTTCCGACCATGCCACTTTACGCATGTTACCACTCTCTAAAGACAAGGGCTGGAAATAATATTTTCTAGGCGGTTACAAGAGCTCGAAGCTAGAACGGAGGCTTACGAGAAGCTACTGCGAGAGCTTCTGCCGGGACTAGATAGTGCTATGCAAGCAGCTGTACAAGATGCCCTCAGAGTGGTGAGCTTCCCCTTTTCAGATTGTACTTGCATCCCATAGTGATATCTGCTCTAGCCTCGAACATCTTCTATAGCGGCCGGTAAATCCCCTCGTGAGCAAATCATTCAAGAGAGTCTACCCCCGGACCTTCAGCTAGATAGTGAATCGGAGCCCTCGGACGATTGGGATTCAGATGACAATCCGGACGACCTGGCAGAGGATATCAATACGCTTTCTATCAACAAACCTATCGGGTATATGGGCAGAAGCTCTGAAGTTTTATGGATAAATCTTTTGAAGGAGGAGATCAAAAAATGTCCCGATAGCGTCCAGGCCGATGAACCAAATCAGTTAGAAGGTGGGGTATGGGAACAAGGAGAGGAAGTTGGTATGCATGGCCCAATAGAACCTCCGGCCCCAAGCACTACTCTTACCCGAATTTAGAGCTAACAGAAATATCCCTAGGATGGACATACCACCTTGATGACATCGATATCTCCTTCTCCGGCAAGCAAATTGACGCCTACGCTCTCCCGCCCAAAGACTTGGCAAACTCTCTCGTTAACGTATACTTTGAGACGGTTCATCCGCTATTCCCCATCATTTATAAGGGGCTTTTCAAGAATCAGTTTGAGTTGTTATATCAAACCCGAGATCCTGGAAAGGTTGCGAGAAAATGGCTCGCAATCATGAACCTAGTGTTTGCGATTGGTGCGAGACATTTATCTATGATCGGCGAGAATAAAGCAGACATCTGGCACCATGTAACTTTTTTTCTCCGTGCAAGACTCTTAGGGGCATTGGATGGAGGACTGGTATTTGAGATTGCTACGCTGCAGAATGTTCAAGCGATGGGATTAACAGGAATGTATTTACTGGCAAGTAAACAAACAAATCGGTAGTGTTTTCCGACCCTCGCCCTATTTTTTGTCAAATAATAATACGGAAAGCTAATGTATTGATACTTAAAATGGTAGTTCCTGGAATGTTGCAGGGCTTGCAATTCGCCTTTCGTATGGCATGGGCCTCCATCTCCGAAACGTCGCTTCGACCCTAAACGCTGGCCAAAAGGAAATGCGCGTTAGGGTCTGGTATTCTGTTTGCTACTTGGAGAGGACCCTCGGACTGATTACAGGACGACCATCTGCACTACAGGCCCATCAAAGCAGTGCACCATTGCCCAGATCAAAAGACCTCGACCTCGAATCTGATCCTGCTCAAGACGCATATTTCGCTGCGCATATTAAGTTATCGTCAATCGCGTCTGAAGTTCTAAGCCAATTGTACTCCACGCGAAGTAGATTTGTGATGCAAAAGAGCTGGGGGCATGTTCAGGAGACCATGGAAAGGTTTGATCGACGGCTAACAAAGTGGAAGAGCAAGCTAATCCCGAGTTTGTCATTCAATGGCACTCGCGATAGCAACGATGATAAAACCTTTATGAACCAGGTATACTTCTTCCACCCTTGTACACTTTTTGTCCTAAATTTGAATAGAGGCTCGACCTTGCTCTCCGTTACCACAATATTAGGATCCTGATCTTCCGTCCATGCATCTGCCAATTAGAACTTGGTGTTGCCAAAGAAGTAGGATTCAGTGAAGAACTAAACCGCTCGGGCGCCCAGACATGCGTCAACTCTGCCCGGAATATTATCTCCCTTGTTGCTGATACAAGTGAAGATAAGCGAGAGCAGTTGATGAAGATACCGTGGTGGTGCGTGTTGCACTATCTCGTCGCTGCCGAAGCAATTCTACTTCTTGAAACAATTCGCCAAAGGGCTTCGAACGTTGATATCGGTATTATCAACGATATGCGTCAAGTTGTCAAGTGGCTGCATGGGATATCGGGAAACGACATGGCGAGTATGAGAACGCACAAGCAATTGAGTAAACTTCTGGAACGAGTGTTATTGATTGTAGGGATAGACGCAGGTGATATTAGGGTCCAGGGAGATGAGAGGGAGGGGTCAAGACAGGAGGGCGAGAGGAGGTGGCTGAGGGACGACTTTGCTCTTCATATGGCAGAGCAAGGGCATATGAGGGCTGAGGATGATGTATGGGATTTCGAAAGGGGCTTTGATATGCAGTACTTTTAGTGTCTAGGTTTAAGTAGTGAATTCTGAGAACTTTTCCCCCTAATTGCGCCTCATCAGACCATCGGGTGTGGTAGGTGGCCTTGGGCGGATCACCTCCCGGGCGACAGGTTGTGAAAGGTCAGACTACTAGGGAATTCTGTTTCCCGTTCATTGAATCGCGGAATATATATAGGCTTCTAAGGACTCTATGGAAGTGCTCAAGGATATTGACCAGAGATAGGAGTGGCGGAAGGTTGGTCTGTGAGAGAGTCCATGGGTGTAACATTCGTAGAACATGGTGCACCTCAAACAATTTTGGCGTATTGTGGGGAGGAGGGTTAAATATCATCACCCCTGGCGCCACCAGAAGCCGAGTGAGAGAGAGGGGGGGAGATTTTCGAAAATCACCTCCGGAAATACCGAAGTATGGATTTATAAATAGGCATTAGCAGAGATAGATGGGAGATACAAGTATTGCCGTTAGGATCATAAATTAAATTTCGAGGTGAACTTAAGCGGCTCGTGTGGTAGTTTAATGTCATAAATATCTGAAACCTGCTCACCAACCTCAGCTCTCGCTCATTTCACTTTCGAAAACCCCCATTTCCGGGTAGAGTAGCGTCGAGTTGCGAACCGCTGTGGCATTGAGACCGTCGAGGCCGTGGGGAAGAGGCTATACATCACTTTGGAGCACATTGTAGCGGTTTGGGTTTACGCGGCTGGGGGGAGGAGTAGGATGAGGGGGGGTGAGATGAGAGGTGAGAGGAAGAAATGGAGGTGCCATACATAGAAGGGTATTTTCTTGGCTTATGTGAGGACTTGGTGAGCTTGAGAGTTTGAGGATAATGAGTTTGGGTGTGGAAGCATGAGATGTCACTCGGGTCGGTTAAGAATATATTTCTAATTCCGTGTTCGGGTTCATTGGAATGCAATACATCCTAACGTGTTGTAAATATCCGCGCTAGTACGCACTGTGTCGAGAGAAAAAAATTCTTAATTATAAACCCCCTCCCTTCCTTTCGTCCATTTCTCCAAATGGAGATCCTCAGCCCTTAATGTTGAAAACAATGGTTGAACAAAGCAGAATATGAGTGAGAAAAAGCGTGAGAGAAAAGGAGAGACGAAAACTAAGGTGCAGTATGGGAAAGCAAGCATGAGGAAATCATCAGGATGCGGGATTACGCAAGGCAGCGCAAAGTGTATTCTAACACTTAACACCACCACCTTCACCCTTTTTATCGCCTTTATGATGCTACCTTTTACTCAAAACTGCGTCAATCATCCTCGCCGCACACAACCACTCTCACCTCCTCAAGCCTCTTCACTCCACCGTGTGAAACCTTCGGTCCCATTGTGGTCTCGATAACGCACTCGGTCCTGACCTTCCCTTTGGTCTCTCATGTCTGCGCGTTCTCACAGCATTTACTTATGGCGTCCAGGGTCGTCTTGTTCCACGTGAGTATGCGTCCAGTCGCCACCGTTTACTCCTTTCCTCTTCTTCCTTCTTCTCTCTTTTACTCTTTTGTCCCCCTCTCCTTTGTCTTCTAGAATTGATAACGATATCTCATCCTGCAGATCCACCGTACCTAGAATCTGGTCCTAGAATCGTAATTCTTGGCCTCATATTCTGTAATACCTCCAGCATTTACTACTGCGGTCGGATTCCCGGCCTTCCCGGCCCCGCCCTGGAGAAGTCTAGAGAGGATAATGCCTTTCTTAAGTCTATTCAAGTAATTAAGCAATTTTCAGTCAATCGGTGAACCAATGAATTGAGCTACCACTACCTATCATGCTTCTATTCTTTATGGAGTTCGATTCTCTCCCAGTTTCCCTATCCTACTATTTGAATATCGCGAGCGCAAGGACCTGCAGCCTACCGCCTCATCTCTGGAACACAAGCCCTAGAACCTGGGGCTGCCATTTCTGGACCAACCTGGGCTAGGTTTAAGTTGGGTTGGGCTGTCGGGAGGCCGACCTGGGATACCCATTAAGCTCAAACTTTTGGATGGTGGGGGTGTACTGTTTAGCGCGATCCTGGTTGAACCGGTTCGGCTCTTGGAGTAGACCAATGTGCTCGAACAGTCCTAGGGTCGTGGATGAAATCCCAGCTGGCTCGAGAATTGCAGTAGTCATAGAAGATGACTCGTATTCATACCATGCCAGCTCTGGGGACCTAGCGAGAGGTGGCTATGATAAGTTAACTGCTAAAGATAACTGAGTGACATCCTACCGCAAATATAAGAAGCATTGGTATGGCGTGTTGGGGACTGGGAACAGAAATACCACATGTTAATTTATCGGCTATTACTTTGATCTATGCTTATTGAGCAATCCGAAACCGACATAATTCCACTACGGGTACTTTTTATGCTGGTCCTGGAAGTCGTAATCCTCGATATATTAATGTCATATGCCATACCGCATTGTACTCATTCTGCCATGCATAGAGAGGAGGGGTGCTTCCTCATTGGCTATCCACGTTGGGCACCTCTCATGAGCACTGTCTCGAGTGGAAAGGTTATCGCAAGTGGAGGATCCAAGAGGGGGAACTTCAACGAGATCCTGATACAAGATGGCGGCTCTGGCCTCAACGGGTAGCTATTATTTCCTGAGTAACCACGAGGTATGATACTTGTAGCCGTGCCAAGGTTAGGGCGCCAACTGAGACTCGTTCTGGATTTAGCACTTGTATGTTAATTTGCCAAGTTTGGGCTAATTACAGGTTGATACCTTGGCATATATCTATCGACCGGTTTCGCCAGGGGGATTAGTAGTAGAGTGGTTAACATGTCCAAGACGTCTCCTTGCGCCGGCAAAAATCTCGACCCATCGTGCTTCCAAACCGAATTATCCCCATGAAATCTGTCTTCTCTCCGTCAATGTTCAGGGAATGTTCCATTATCATCTAATAGAGCCATAATCCCCACAGGAGAAGTGGTTGAAAATCCTACTCTTATTCGTTACCAGAGGTAAAAGGTATGGGTACAGTACAGTACAGTATACGATCACTGTCATTCACCAAATTAACGAGCAATTCGACATGGTAAAGTAAATTTAGTTTGTGCGCTGTCAAGCGCATTTAAAGGTGTTACAAGTACCGGTGTGTGTCTGCCAGAATTTCCTGTGCAGTGCGGTTGACTGCGATAGACTGCTCGAGCAGAAATGGCCGGATGCGATAAGAGGTTCTGTTCATGCTTTGATAGTATGGATACAGGGACGACTAATTTGGAATATAGCAGTCTTAATTCGACTCGAGTATGTGCGGGTCTGGATATAACAAGCGGAAAAAAGGATTAGTAAGAACCTATCGGGTACAGTACTTGTCGTGAGCAGCAGCTGGTCTCGGTTTCTGGCTCCTACAATGCTTGCACTTGATACAGTAGACTATTTCTTTTCACGGCGTTTTATCGATCGACCACCACAACCCCTGCTTTGCCGCCGCCGCCACAAATTTTCAGGCTTTTTATGACATTTGCCCGAGTACTACCCGTTTTCAAAAGTATCCGGACGCCTTGGCACTTATATTGCCTATCTTGGCGCCAAGGCGTCCGGATACTTTTGAAAACTACTTGGTATCATCCGGTGGGAGAGGGCGAGCAGTCGAGTTTCTCGAACCAGGATGCCATAATTTTTTTCACCGATGAAAAACGCTATCGCGATCAGCAAATTATCCAAGAATTTCCCCAGAGTCACAAGTCCTTAGAGAGCTCTAAAAAATAAGATAAAATACAAGTGTTCTAAACCCTCTTTTTTTAGAAAAACAATCTAACTCATGATCCGATCATTTCAGGTAAAAGCGTCACGCCCCCTCAGGCGCGTTGCCCCGCAACGCGTCCGTATACTGGTAATTGATTTTTCAATACGCGAAACCCTCCCAAGAATCGTCTACAAACCCCGGCACCGTTCATCAGCTATCGCGACCACCACTGCTGCCGCACAACGCATGATGCAAGAGCCTCCCGTGGGCGGTTCTGCTGGTTCGAGTCTCGGACAGTTCTCGCTTTCCCCGTTATCCTTTTCGGGGAGCCAGAGCTCCCCGTCGTCGGCGAAAAAACAGAAGACCTTTCATACACCGGGCTCGGCTAATCCGAAACAAACGCTGTTGAAGCCGCATCAGTCATTACTCAACACGTTGAAGAAGTCGCAAAGCCCTTTTTCCCCCCAAGGCGCCAGAGGGAAAACAGGGAAAAATGGTTCTATATTGAATTTCTTTAAACCGGCGTCGGAAGGAAAGGATGCGGGCGGTGGTAATGGATTAAATGGAAAAGAACCCGTGGAAGTTGGTGCAAAAAACGACAGTTTATTCATCAAACATGGAGGATACAACTTGGATGTCTCTGACCCGGAAGATGAGGGCGGGGATGATAGTTGGTCTCCGGAATCTAAAATTGTTAGTAGGCCGGACTTTATAGACGAGCTCTCGGAGGTTGAGAAGGACTCCCCCACAGGGTTGGGGGCTCAGGAGGTTTTGGGAGATCAAGAATCGAATCCGGACGGCACTCTCGAACTTGAAGAAGGTGTTGTCTTCAAGGAAGGGACCGGAACTAAGGAATGCACACCACCTCCACCGTCATTACAAGGTCGGACCCCAGTCCATGCTACCCTACCGGAGACACCGCCACCAAAGCCTAACATCTCTGCAGACATGGTCTTTGGCCCAGGAGGTTTGAAACTGGATCCGGGTCGCTCAATGCTGTTTAGTAGAAAGGGCTCTACACCAAGTCCCTTTCGTGGGCTCAGAAAACGACCTTGGGCAGATGTTAATGACTTAGATGCACCAGATGATAGGTCTTATGTGAAGAGCGCTGATGATCTAGCCTGGAAATTAACGCTAGAAAAAGCTATAGCTGAGGAAAAGGCTTCGTATGTGCCAGAGGACAAGAGGGGTCAGTTTATTAAGGAACCGTCCACTGAAATCGGTGGGTTCCCGCCGAATGGATCGCAAATAGGCAATAGTGTCTTGGTTGACGATTTCGAGAATATCGAGGACTTTGAAGAGGTGGGGTTTGAAGAAAACGAGGACAGACATCTTTTCGATCCAATCTCTGGGGCAATCGAACAGGGCTTTCAGGACTTGGATGATCTTTCTCCTGAGGAAATTCAAATGATCATGGAGCCAGATAGGACTGGAAGCCGGGATATATCGCGGGATGAGGAAATACTACATTGTCCAATGTGTGCCGCTGAAATTTCACATTTATCAGAGAGAGACGCAAATGCTCACGTCAATGGCTGTTTAGATGGCAAGCCAGTACCCCTACCATTTCCCAAGCCCAGCGTACGTTCTCCAGTAGTATCTCCGTTCTTCTCTAAAGGCCCTGCACACATATCGAAAATTCCAGAGTCACCCTCAGCATTCACAAAAATAATGTCTCGAAACATCGAGTCACAGGCATGGGCGTCTGCTGCCAAGTCTGAGATGGAGCCGCGTGGGAAATGGGGAGCGCAGAAAACATGCCCGTTTTTTAAGATGCTATTTGGAGGGTCAATAACCGTGGATGCGTTCAAGTATGGCAGCATTCCTGGGTGTCAGGCATACTTTCTTAGCCACTTCCACAGTGACCATTATGTTGGTCTGACTTCTAAATGGGACCACGGCCCTATATGGTGTTCCCGTGCTACAGCCAACCTTGTGCGCATGAAGTTGAGAGTCGATCCTAAGTACGTGCAGGAATTCCCATTTGAAGAGTGGACGGATGTGGTTGATGGGATTCGTGTGAGAGGGTTGGATGCGAACCATTGTCCGGGAAGCATGCTATTCTTATTCGAGCAAGACTGTGTCGGAAGGCTGGGCAAGCAGAGAATTCTCCATTGCGGCGATTTCAGAGCTTCGGCAAAGCATCTGAATCATCCTCTGTTGAGACCGGGAAAAGACGGCGTTAAGGGACAAAAACTGGATTCGGTATACCTGGACACCACATACCTTAATCCGAAATATGCATTCCCTAGTCAAAAGAGTGTTATCAAAGCTTGCGAGGAGCTTTGTGTGGGACTTAATAAAGAATCAATTGATGGTCAAGGAGGGACGTTCGCGAAAACAGCAACTCTGATGAATAGGATGGGAAAATTCGTACAAGGTAGCAAAGTCGGTGGTAAGGGGAAAGGGAAGCTCCTCGTTGTTGTGGGGACCTATAGTATCGGAAAAGAGAAAGTCTGTTTAGGCAAGTCACCTACCCCGGACAATAAAATTTATTGGATATTGTGGTATTAATTATTACCAAAAATCAATAGGAATTGCAAAAGCTCTTTGCTCCAAAATCTTCGCACCACAAGATAAGATCAAAATTTGCCAGTGTCTTGAGGACGAAGAGCTTAATTCGAGATTGACCAGTGATCCGAACGAAGCCCAGGTCCACATGACACCGCTAATGAAAATTAACCCCGAGGTTCGCTCTCCTCTTCCAAGAAACACCCCGACCGCTAATAATGGACACAGACTCTGCGAGACTACCTCAACAAGTTCAACCCACATTTTTCCCGCATAGTCGGCCTTCGCCCCTCCGGCTGGAGCTACCGAGTAATTTCCCCTGTAACTCACGATACACCAACACAATAGCTAACGAAAATGAACCTAGCCGCCATCAAACCGCCTTACAGACTCTCCCTCCGTAAACAATGTCCTTCACTCTGCCAGTTGGAAGGGGGAGTACCGGCTCTCAGAATTGCTCCCTCAGCACGGAAGTACTAGAGAGTCAAAATGTTATTCAGTGCCATACAGCGAGCATAGCAGTTTCCGAGAGCTGACCATGTTCTGCTGTGCGCTAAATATTAGGAAAATTATTCCTACTGTCAAGTATTTCTCCTATTCTTCCATACTTTCGCTTCAAATTGTTGACGAAGGGGCCGTAGTATTGGCAGTGAAGCAAGCAGAGATAAGATGAACAGGTGGTTTGAAAGGTGGGAGGCTGAGAAGAGGAGAAGTGGGCTTTTTAAGATAGAGGACGAGGAGTTTTAAATTCTGAATAGTGGTTCTGACACGGCGTTCCGAAAGGGTACTACTGTTGATGGGGCTATGTATTATATATTCAGTTTTTCGTGTGTAATGACGTTTATGGCCGCACTTCAGTGTTTTCTCCCAGAGTTTTCGTTTTCATTCCATATGTATGTATCTATACTGTATAGTAGGTACATACAGTAGAGCCTTTGTAAATGACATTCGGTGGGATACGAATACCAGGGTGAGCGGTTTTTCTCTACATCTAGCAATCAAGCAGGATCCCTTAGCGATAGTGCTCGATACATAGATTTCTTAATCCCTGTCAGTCCGGTCACCCACGTCCATACCCGAGTACTGTACTGTACCAGTATTATATAGTATCATACTGTCTCGGAGCACACACCGGAAAGCGACCCGGGTGAATCAAGCCCGTGCTGGTCCTACTACTTGTAAATTACCGGTGATAATCCAACAACCCTCTATTCCTCGCGATTCAACCTACTCCTTACTCATGCTCAACACCTGGCCAGAACATCACGCGGTGAACGAAAAGAAAAATAATCGCATAATCGTGACCAAGGCAAGTTACAGCTCCCTTCCGGCCAGGTCCTGACCATTGGGGGGAAAAAAAGAAAAGAAAAAAAAGAGGCCTACAAACCCCCGCCCGATACGCAATACCGGTACCTACACGGAAAGAGAAAGAAGGGGAAGGGGAATAAAACAAATAAGGGGGAATAAAACAAATAAGGGGGATTAAAGTGGAGGAAACGAGAAGAAATGCGTGAGATGGATGGTGGGTCACGCCTTCCAAAGTCTCAAAAGCACCTCTTTAGGAGCTATCGTCAACGTCAGGTCCATCATCGGGCCCGTATACGTATCAGCAACTTCAATCCTTGCATACTTTTGCAAAATCCTGGTAACTGTGTAAGAGGCTTCGGTCAGGGCGTATTGCTCTATTCACACCAAAAGTTAGCAACTGTCCTGCCGATATCATACTACTGCCAATGCTATCACTGGGTGGAAAGGCATACGCCCAAGACAAATCCTCGGCCCCCCGTTGAACGGCAGGAAGTCCCACCCTCTCCCGACTCCCTCTCCCCACCTCTCGGGCCGAAATGCGTCCGCATCCTCGCCGTACAGGTCCTTTCTCCTATGCAGTCCATAACAAGTATAGTCTACCCTCTGTCCTTTGGGTATGAACACGGGCGATAACCCGTCCTCCCCACCGCCGCGCGGGAGGACGGTGTTGCGCACGGCGGTGCGCCCATTCAGTGGGACAGAGGGGTACAGGCGGAGGGTTTCGTTGAGTACGTAACGGAGGTATGTAACGTCTTTAAGGGCGGAGAAGGATGGACGCTTTCCCTCGCCATCGCCGCCGGTGCCGAATGCCTCGAGGATCTTTTCGCGGAGCTTCTGGTAGATGTGGGGGTGGCGGGCTAGGAGCCAGAATGTGAAGCCGAGGAGGCCAGCAGTTGTATCCCTGTTAACTCTCGTTAATTGGCCGGTTACGAGGAAGGAGGGCGTGGGAGGTGGTTACCGTCCAGCAAGAAGGATATTCAAGATCTGATCGCGAAGGTACTTCGGATCCTTGGTTTCAGCAGCAATAGCATCTAGAAAAACATACTTGTTCTCAGAAACCTTCCTCGTACGCTTCTCGGGGTTCAGCGCCATATCGACGTATCTATCTACAAGCCTATGCACAATCGCATTTGCATCTCTAAACTTCTTCGGGTTCACCATCCAGTACAGCCCCCGTAACCTCGCGCGCTGAATCAAATACCCCTGAGAAACGTTGAATGCCTGGGCGAACGACATCTCCTCTTTCCCTCTGCTGATAGTCCCGGTGGGGATTAGCTTGGGCGAAAGCAACGAGTCCACACTCTCCCCGAGCAAAAACTCGGTCGCGGAGTCCAACGTCAGGCAATAAAACAACGGCTGCAAGTCCGCGGCTTCACCATCCGCCCCTGGTAGCCGGTCCATCAACCGCTGTACGTGCACCTCCAACGCTTCGACATCACTAACTTGCTCTCTCGAAAACTGCGGCCTCAAATTCGCCCTAGAATGCTCCCATCCAGCACCATCAAGCGTGAATATCCCGTCTCCAAGCAGTGGGTAAAAATTATCGTGACGTTCAGGGCCCAGAGAAAAGTCCTTGAAACTTGTGGCGAGGATGGCTTTTATATTCTCTGGCTCGATGGTACCGATTGTTGTGCCGATCAGGACACGGCCTTTCCATGTATTGCCGTAGGTTGGATAGCGGTTTGCGATGTGCTCGAGGGCCTCACCGCGCTTGGCGGCGCGCATTAAGCGCACCCAGTTTGGCAGGCCCAGGAAGGAGGAGGGGAGGCGGCGGGGTGGGAGACAGTTGTGGGATTTGGCGAATTTACGGTTTTGGTGGGCTATTATAAGGCAAGCTATCAGCTTTGGTAGGAGGTAAAAAGCGGTAGCCAGGGGGAAGAGGAGCTTGAAGGCTAGCTCCATGTCGACGATGGGTTAATCGTGGGGTCGTTGGGAGTCGATGTGAAGTTGAGTGAAGTGCTAATTTACGTTTTATCTCAGCAGTCGGACGGGAAATGGAGAAACAAGTTTATTTATGCTTCACACGGAACCTCGGTAGTCCAGCCCACACTCACTCTTTTTTTTTTTTTTTTTTTTTTCATTATCCCTCGCCGTAGTAAGCACACCTCCTCTTGTATGATAGAATACTATCCCACAGCACTGGTACAAGTACTATACTACCTAGTATGTTAATCAATTATCCTTGGTTAGAACCGCCACGACACGCCTGTTACCCCCCAGCCCCCAGCCTCTCAACCGCATTTCCGGATCCCGTACACCTGGTATCATACTGCTCTTGCATCATGCGCTAACCCGATCCGTCAATTCCAGCTACTGTTCTAAATCACTACTGCACCGGTACAGTTCTTTACTTGTACTCGAGTACTCGAGTAGGATTCAACCGTTGATGTGCTGTGCTCAAAGTAATCTGCCCTCTGAACGTTACAAGTAGCAAACTATAATTAAGCCGAGGTGGAAAAAGGATCAAAGGCTATTGCTGTTATCGATGGCCAAGACCCTAGACCCTCTAGGGGGTGGAGGAACTATCCGGTGACTCGGTGCCGCCGAGACTGAGCATTACCGGTGGTTGCGATAGCTGCAGGGTATTAATTGTATGAAACCAGGTTGGGTATTGGTTGGCGGGGTTTTGTCGTCGTGGTTTGCGTCAAGTTATCGCTGGCTACAAAACTTGACTTGGAAATGGATGCATCCATGGGATAATACCCTACGATATTGACGATTGTCAATTTGTGCTTCGGGTGTACTGTACTGTACCGTGACACCGAGGTGCCTACTTGGAAAGCGCTCAAGAGTGCTCCCAGAGCGCAGTATCATACTGGGGTGTGTTTGAGCACACCACCTTACTTGAGCACTCATGCGCTATACTTGCCTCGCACTGAACAGCAGGGAAGTGTAGGTCGTTCCTACAACACCATTACGAAACGGCAGCCCGATAATGCCATATCATCCAAACACCCCCGGAGTTGGCGATAATTTTTTAAAGCCCGTGGAATCTGCACTAAGAGGGCTGATATCCTCGGTCTCGCCGAGCCAATTGTATCACGGGGTAAGCGAGACTCATCGTGAGCTGAGTTGAGAAAACCAACTTCATCCCACGAACAGCCAACCCACCCCAAATGCGCAGGAGCGAATACCTTGGAGCCTCATAGCCTGTCACTCTCACTCCCACACCACAGCCAATCACCCAAACGCCGTTTCAGGATGCGCTTCCCGTTTGCGGAAAATACACAGTCAGCCGGTCGGTCGGTCGGACAAAAAGTCTTGGTGGGACAGGCTTTCTCTTTGCACCTTTAACGGCGCCCCCGAACACAGACTACTAATTGCGCCATACCCCTCCCCTATTATAGCGCCCGTGATCTCCGGCAGAGGGAGGAATTTCGCTCCAGCAAGAGTTTTGTCCGGTTGCTTTATTTATTCCATATTGTTCCGGATTTTCCGCTGGATATAATTAATTGTGGGCGCCATCAGATTAGGCCCTTTTTTGAGCTGTTTGAGGTTTCACAACCGTTCTGGTTAGCGATTGCTTAGGCTGGCTAGTTTGCCAGTGCTTCCTTACTCGCGTTGGCGGTCAATCGTAGCCTGATTGGTTGGGGTTTAGAAGGTGTGACTGCTTAATATGATAATATTGTCGTTATCATATGATACATAAATTAATACTGTATGTTATGAGGCTACTGCCTTAATAGACGCTATTAACATAGCCAGTGATAGCGATGGAATAGATGAAAAAAAGACCAGGGAAGGCAAGAACTGAAGGTTGGAAGAAAAATACCAGTAAGGGTATGATATATAGGAGGAGAGGAAGGAAGGGTAGGAGATTAACCACAGGGTCAGCGATGATCTGTTCAGTAATCACACGGAAAATCCGGCTCTGTATCCCAAAGCGGGGAAAATTCTTGATTAGTGATACCCGGGATCAAAGATTTCGGCCCAAGATACCGTTCGCCGGTACGGTACTGGAACCTAGAACCGTAACGTAGCATAGTATGGTATCATACCGGTTCTCCCCGATAGTAATAATGAGCCTTGTAATAGCTAGCTGCTCTGCCAGTAAGTTTTCCCCAGGTACGGCGGAATGTCTCGCGATGTTTGACGGATGGGAAGTGGACGCGGTGTGCGGTTGATGCGGGAGAGGCTCACTGTAGGAGGGATAAATGAACCTTTGATTTAATCTGTAAGTCCCCCCACCGGTCATGCAAGATCACTCGCAGATCTTTCACGTGTGGGGCACGAAAGGAAAAGTTGCTCTCGGGATTTCCTAAACCACCGCAGGTGTCTGCCAAGGTATTCGTGGGTTGACGGAAGTCCTGGAGATCAAAGATCTGGGGGTATTTCCTATATTGATACTTCAACTTGCAGGAATCTGCACGTTGGACTTGTAGACATGGGATAGATCAATGTATTCCCCACCCCCACAGAGCTATAGAACAAAGTATACAGTGCATAGCACGTCCGTCTGGCCATCTAAACAGGTGAGCTGCTAACGTGATCGTGTCCGCAGCCCTATTAATTAATTCACGCCTCACTTCCCGATTGCACATTCTACTAGTACCTAGTATTCCGAGACCGTGGGTGGTGTAGATAGCTATAGAGTAACACTATCACACGTTAGGATAAAGGGTAGATTTCAGGTTATAGGCATTTCAGTTACAGGTATTTTAAATACCGGGAAGGATTAAGATGACCTATTTTGCATCGATAGAGGCGATAAATAGAGACCTTGGTGTCACCCATGCTAGTTATGAGCTCGAAATTATAGTTCGAGGGCCGCTGAAATATGTGGTATCGTAATTGAACCAAACTGCCTCTGCAGTTCAAACGGAATGAAAACCCTTCTGTATATGATACCAACAGAGCTCTCAACAGCCATCCACCCCCCAGCTCAAACTCCAGCAAACCCCAGACATAATCTTGAAATAATTTTTCGGTATCATACCTCGCCCGTGATCCGGGATGGCAAAATTAATCCTCTTTGATATAGCTATATATAACCAGGGGTCATGGAATAAATGAAAATAAAAAAAGCCTTCTACTTTCCAAGTACAGGTATGTTGAAACCATCTTTCTCTCAAGAGAGCGTGAGCTTCCACGAACCCCCCCCCATTCATTCATGGCTTCCTGTGACGTTCCTTGTATACCCATTAATGCACTGCTAGAATCTATTGGCCGTCATTTTTCTATCACTAATACTCCGGCTGCGGTTCGTCACATATTTTTACCCAGTTTTTATGATTTCCCTTCTCTTGAGGACGTATCTGCTCCTACAATGCAATCAAAAAATATATTTAACAATGTCATGTACTATCCCATGGGCTGGTGAGACATGCAGAATCGGGACACTCCAAAAATAGTTGACTCTAAGGTGGAATTAGTAAGCAATTCACAACGTTAGATATTGTGGCAAACAGGATACTGTACATGATCCATTTCCACATCACTTCGAGAGACAAGAAGGCACAATTCTGCCCTATCCCAGAATGCCAACCAAGAAGCGCAAGAGCTCTGTGAACGATGAGCAACGCACGAAAATTGAAAACCTACCTGAACCGCCCGATTTTGACTACCTGAAATCTCCCTTCCTCGAGCATGAAGGCTATCCTACCTTTCCTACCAATTTTCCCGCCAGTCCAACACCACGCGAAGTTTTTAGTTTGTTTTTCGATAATGAAATCCTTGATACAATTGTTAGAAACACAAATGCCTACACCGAGACCAAACTACAAGCCCTCCATTCAACTTCCGAAACTAGTTTCACAAGAAATTGGGTTCCTCTACAAGGTCCGGAGCTATATATTTTTATTTCCATATAAATCTATATGGGATTTGTTAAATATCCTAATATTGAGATGTATTGGGAAGAGGAATTAAAGCAGGCTGGCTTACCTTGTAAATGTATGTCACTAGTTCGATACCAGCAAATTAAAAGATTTTATCATCTTTCCCCACCCAATATTGTACTCGATAAGCAAAACTGGTTTAGAAAACTCGAGCCAGTAGCTTTCTCCCTTCGTCAAAAATTTCAACAATATTACTTTCCCTCAACAAATTTGTCCTATGGTGAAATAATGGTTTCTTTTGAGGGAAGAAGTCTCCATATTGTTAAGCAGCCAAATAAACCGATTGATCATGGTTACAAAATCTGGGGATTATGTGACCATGATTACACGTGGGCATTTTTGTTTTATTCAGGTGCAGTGGGAAATGAAGTAACTGAGATGACGGTACAGACCAAAATGTATACTGCGCTAGATCGTGAAATGGGAATGTGGGTTTTTAGGATGGAGGAGGGAGAGAGGAGATCAAGGCGGCTAGAACAGCTTTAGTTTTCTTCTACCTGTCACGCTGTTTGTACCTTGGTATTTCTACTTCCTTTCGAAAGATTTCGGTTCAATATTTACTTAGACAATTTGTTTACCACAATTCCGCTTTTTCGGTATCTACGAATGCACGGCATAGGAGCAACTGGGACTACACGGCCAGGCCGACCAGAGTTTCCAAAAGAGTTGGAAATTTCCAAGCCTCTAGCAAGGACAATTCTTGAGTGGAATCACCTTAGTGGTATGGTTATAGATGGTGTTTGTGCTGTTCTATGGCAAGATAATAGTACTGTTTTACTGCTTACTACTATTCACGATATACGAAATCTTGTCTTAAGTACAAGAAAGAAGCCAGCATCCACCAGTACCAATGCTCGTGCTGTTCGGAAGGTCTTTGGAGAGAGAGAGAATAAAAAGCTTCTTCCTATTCCTCAAGTAATTGTTGATTACAACTTTCAAATGGGAGGCGTTGATATCTCTGTTCAGCTCCGTGCAAACTATACTACCCATCAGAAGTGTTGGCGGAACTGGTTTGCTCTATGATTTTAGCTACTCGATATCACATTGGTGAACTCTTATTTTCTTTATACCAAGATCAGCAAACCCGGCAACAGTACGAACATCCTGAGTCAACTTGAATTCCGTCGAAGGTTAGTAGATGAACTGCTAGCAAAGGGCTGGAATGAACTCCACCCATTGTCGATCCCGCATCTTCCCCATTTTATATCGAAAATCACACAAAACACCAAGCTACCTCCATTCTTCCTCCGAAATCCACTTCTACAATCCCATCAAAGACAGGTCAACTATCAAAACAGACGTCAGTGCTGGTTTTGCTGATATAAGAGGATTACAAACTCAGGAGCGAGTATAAAGCGGAGGATTGGAGTTGCGGGAGTTCTTACTCATGTAAATCAAGTTAGTAACTTGAAACCATGAAAGTTCTATGACCACAATGTTGTCAAAACTGCTGTTTGGTTTACAACATGTTGTTTGCCGCTCTGTGATGATCATGGGTGCTTTAAGGATTTTCACCGTTTGTGATTGTATTCTGTTCTGTTTCTGCTATCTCGCTCTTTTGTCTTTTTTTTTTTTTTGATATTGCGCATGATACGCCAATCCCAAGGTGGCTAATCATACAACTAAATATTTACTATATTTAGAGTGTCCCGATTCTGCATGTCTCACCAGCCCATGGGATAACCTCATTGCCCTTAATCCCAGGTGAGGAAAAAAGGATCAATGAGCTATTTGGCATGGCACAGAGTAAAAACAAAAGTTTTGTTGAAATTTTTTAATAAAGTATTCCCTGGAACTGGCGGGATAGGTATTTGTTCCCATGTTAGTATTCTGTGAAATACCTAGCTGGCGCAGTGGTTAATATGCCAAGAACCATTTAACCCCTGTGCACTTAGCAGGAGCCTCGGAGTTCGATTCATCCTCTGCAACGAGTATTTATTGAACTGTCCGTCACGTGGGGCAGGAGAGTGGGCTATTCCTGTACCCTATGAGAACTGGGGGGACTGTGGGAGAATCCGACTCTGGCCAAATCCTGATAGCAAAGGGGTGAGGTCGCGATCGGCGGGATTTTTTTTTTCTTCCTTCCCCCCCGGATCCCTTTGAGAGCAGTTGTAATTCCTGAATGCTATACAGACTCTCTTGTACGGACACAATAGAACCATTCCCGAGGGTGAACATTTGCCATCAACCCACACTATTTTCTTGCTTTAATAATCAACAGAAGCCCCATAAAGGTAAATATATTTGATTGCTTTTTTGTCATCATTGATCCCCTTGTAAACCAACCATCTTTTATTAAGGAATGTTCAGTGTGATTTGTTAGTAGTGATAGTGACCAGTATTTATAGACAAAGAATTCCTCGTGTGTGAATATCCCCCCACTAGCTGATATAGAAAACCATCCATCACGTGGGGCAGGAAAGGCAACCCCCCCCCCATTCTGCCATAGGGGGGGGGGGGGCTAGGCAATCAAAGACTTTAGTTGTATCAATAAAGTTGTAGCCCAAATCAGTCTCGCTATCATATTGTAAGTAGACGGCGAACCTAACTCTAATCCTTGACGACCATGGGAAGCAAGATGGGAAAATTGAGGGGGGGTGGGAATTATCATGCCACCTTTGGCCCAGAAAAACGACTGCAATTTCCGAATGCTATTCGGGCTCTCAAGTTATGAACACGAACAAAGCCGATCCGTGAGGGCGGCCATCACCATCAAACCACCCTCTCACCGTTGATCGTCCAGCAAACTCAATACTTTCTCCCCCAAATAGAGAGTCAGATGTAGTAGTCACTGCTAATTAGGATTTTCTTCAAGACATATTCGCAGCTTGTAAGCACTGTGGGGGACTTCACCGCCTTCGGTTCCTCCCCACTCCCACCAGAACAATTAATACCCATCCTATACTTACCATCCCCTTCCCATGTAGCTGACAATCTCCAGTCGTTCGTATTCAGCGATACGCAAAAACCCTTTGAACTCCTTACTCGTGCATAGACAATACAGGTTTTTTTTTTCCTTACTATGCTCTGATACCCCCTCCCGTCTCCGGAAAATAAGAATAGCGCGTTAGTAGCAAGTTATTGATATATTGTTTTTTGTTTTTTTTTCCTTCTTGAGGTTATGTTTCCTGGTCATGCTCACTGCCGGTCCGCCTCAAGACATCTCTTAACAGCGCACTGCATGTCTAAACCAACAGGCATAAATCCCCCTCAATTGTTTGCACTACCACTGAGGCCCCTAAGCAGAATTTCTTCTCCCCAGGCTACCGTGGACCCAGCCTCTACTTCCTGCATATCTCCCAGCAGGACATAAAACCCCCATCGAGCGACCCGCGCTTCTCCTGCCCGTATCGAGTATCGTATTTTCCATACCCTCGATGATATACCGGTATACCTCGAACCAACCATCTTTTTCCCTTAAATGAGAAATCAGGGAAGTCAATAACCCCGGAATGGAGTTTAGACGCTGCTTGTGGCAGTTCAGCAACGAGCGATACCGGCAACACCAGGAGGTAGAAGATGCGTTTCGGCGTATCTCGTCAGCAGAATACGAGAACAGAGACTCCGCTAACGTTACGGTAACATATTGAACCGAGTTTTATCTTAGGAACCGGGTATCGGTAACCAACTTGCGCGGTTTTCCAGCCAGCCCGGGCACAGTGCCCCCAAGGAGCCCTCTGTTAAACATAGAGATCGAGTACGACTTGAACCGCCACTTCCCCCGGAAGGGCGGGTAAAAGGGGGGGCATTCTATCGAGTACTCGTAGATATAGGGAGAAGCTGTCCGGCTAGGATACGATTAGAATGCTCACTATCGATACCTTTCTCCAAAGTATCATACCGTAGTCTACTCCCAAGACTCACACCCAGTCACTCGCTCCAAAGTGTCCGCCCGGAATAACAGCCATCCCGATCCGCTAGACAGAAATCACCAGTATGATGCTTGTATCATACTTGCTATCATACGGGCATTGGTGCCCAACCTAGTTTAAATACCCATACCCCCATCTCTCGCACTGATAAACCTAGACCCATTCAGCATCCCGCGGATAAGATGCTCATTACCTCAAATCCACGCCTAGCTCAACAAGTCGATTCGAGTATGATATCATACCATACATCCCGCTCTTATCCCCTACAGTTTCGCCGGTTGGGCCGGGGGGTGTTTTTTTTTGGATAGGGGGGAGATAATGGTTCCCCAACAAGGAGCATTTGCGCTTTTGACATTGCACTTTATCCAAAAGGGCTGTTCCCAACAGTTTGAGACGCCGGTTGTGGTGATAGCATCATAACTCCTCACTGGAGGTTGGGTTGGGTTTGCTTGGAAGATCACCCCAGCCCTATCATTCAGACGGACCAATAAAACTATGATACTGTATGATACACAAGAGGCGCGACAACAGACCTGATTCCTCTACGGTACTGATGACGCGGCCGAGGCTTGAGGCTCAGTGACAACTCGACTCGAACTTCATTCTCTCCATCTTGTTTATCCAAGTTACCCACCTCACCAACCAACCAAACTATTCACTACAACCACCACCACCAAAGCCCCTCGAGGGAACCACGAAAAGCATGCTAAACCGCACCCTACCAGAACTCCTCTTCATAAGAACTTGCATAGCATCCTTACGATCCATCCCCCCGGTCAGCACCCTCTATACCATCTCTCGATTCACCATTCTACCATCCAACTTCCGTTTGCCAATAGCACTAGAGGTATACCTGTTTGCGGAAGCACTATTCTTCACAGCGGTGTACATCCCTCGGAAACTAATATTACAAAAAGTAACCCCCCTTCCCATTCCTCATTTCAAGGGAAAAATGGAGGGAGAGGGAGCTAATGTGAAATGATATTATAACAGCCAGCGCAACACCCCCCGCTCTCCCCGCGCTCTAACCGACAGGCTCTGTTCGAGAAATGCATTGACAAGACGCCAGATGTGAACGCGTACCTTTCCGGCTGGTTCCATGGCGCCGCCGTGGAAACAATTAAGCGGGAGAACGTGAGGGAGTTTCTCTCTTGGGCCTTCTTAAACGAGTCGTGGAGCGGAGGGACGGAGGAGTTTGCGGAGTTGGAGGAGTATGTCTGTCTCCTTGAAAGGAGGCTTGGAAGGGAACTCGAGAGGGGGTATAATAAGAGGGTGAAGTGCGTTAGGTTAACGGTTGATGGAACGGTCATGGAGTATAGGAGTTTGCTCTGGTATTCTGTTGGTATTCTCGTTTGTTGCACGAGGGGGAGGTGGTGGCAGCTGCTGATTGATGGATGGACGGATGGATGGGACATGATAGGTTGTTTTTATCGTAGATTTAACAACTTGCATACGCTTCCGCCTGCACTCTTTCAACCATTTCGCCCCAAGAGCCTGGTTCCGTATCATCCCACCACGCCCACACACAACCTTCTCCTCCCTCTCATCTGCGCGACACATCTCATACTGGCACCGTCCACATACCCATCCCACCAAGCTCCCCATCGTCTTCCTCCATGGCATCGGCATAGGACTATACCCTTACATACCCTTCCTGCACGACCTCGCAACTCTAGATCCAGAAGTCGGCATTTTAGTCTTAGAACTCATGCCGATAAGTTTCCGCTTCTCGCACACCCCACTATCCAGGCCTGCCTTCACGGAGGAATTCACGTCCATACTGGCGCAGCATGACATCCGAAACTTTATGCTGATCTCGCACTCCTATGGGACCGTGTTATCAACCTGGTTACTACATTCCGAGCACCTATCTCCAAGGATCTCATCCCTAATGCTTATGGATCCGGTGACCATCTTACTACACCACCCCTCCGTAGCGTACAACTTCGTCCACCGCGCTCCAAGCACAGCGAATGAATGGCAGCTGCAATACTTCGCCTCCAGAGATCCGGACGTGGCGCATTCGCTCTCCCGCCACTTCTTCTGGGCAGAGAACATCCTCTGGAAGGAAGAGCTCGCAGGGAGAAAAGTTGGCGTCGTGATCAGTGGGAACGACCTGATTGTTGATGCTCCTGAGTGCTGGAGGTACCTTACCGGCCGGGATAGAGTGAAAAATGAGGATAGGAATGTGGTTTGGACTGATGGGGAGGGGGGTTTGACCGTGATTTGGTGTGAAGACCTGGACCATGCGCAGGTTTTCGATACGCAGGTGAGCAGGAGGCTTGTTGTTACGCTTGTTAAGGAGTTTGTTGGGGATGAATAAAGGGGTGGGGGGGTATTATATAATACTACGGTGCGGATACCCTTTGTAGAAATTCAACACTACCCGACTGTTCATTTTCGGATGAACAAAGTACCGTACTAGCACGATGACACGTTCCAGCCATGATACTCTACATTGTGCAGACACTCGAGACAGCACGGTAACCACTCAGCTGGCCCACAAATAGGGACCCAAAACACAATGTCATAATAAGTTCAGAAACACCTACCACACTCCATCCAACCTACCGTACTCCACTAAGCGAAAGCCCAACTTCGAGTACTAGGGACAGAACAAGATATATATGGAGCACCGCAAAATCCCACGAAATCCACTACTCCCGCCGACCCAGGTCAATACAGGAGGTTTACTTCGACAAGTTAGAAAATTGCCAGTGCCCGTACCAGTCGATAAGATCCGACATCTTGTTGGGGGGGGCCGACCTTATACTTGTGTCAGGAAAAAACGCTAGTCCTTCTCAGGAGCTCTGACCCAGAATTTGGAGATTACAGGGCTGCGGGAGATGGTGAATTTCACGAGATCTTACGGTATCAATTAACTAAGTTACTTGTAAACCCATTTCACTTTACCTTTAGAAAAGAAAAAAAAAATTCACTCCTCTGGTACAGGACTGTACGATCCTACTTTACGTAGGACTGTGTCCTCCTCATGCTGGTAACTGATCATAATATGAGATAATAATTAGCAGCACTGCATCTGCATATTTCTCAATTCCCATGGATTTAGACATCCCTTCCCCTTCGAAAACCATAACAGGTGTAGAAATTTTACCATAGAGGCCCGAAGATCCCTCTACCGACAAAAACAATCACTCTCCTAATACGCTTCCGAAACCTTTTCAGAAATCAAGAATACTCCCGCTCCGTATCTTAACTCTTTTATGGAATTCCACTATAGTACTTTGTTTTAGAGGAAGGGAATTTTGTAGTTAACTTTCAACGTTTGTGCGCCGCCAACTACAAGTATACAGGTATTTACTTCTCATAACCCAAACATAGCTAAACTGTTCTTGTAATATTTCACGATTCGAGTGATCATTCGTGAAAATCTGTTTTTAATGTTCATCTGTTTCCAGAAAAGCTATTTTTATCCCACAGTCCGTACGAGAACGTCAGCCAGAAATCCCTCACCTCCACCTCACTACTACTTCCTGGGAAAAGAACATGAAAACATGAAACCGAAAAGCAAACAAACATACACCAGACCCCAAGAAAAGTAGCATAAAACCGGAATCTCCAAG